AATATTGAATTTTCTCAAGGATGAAAATTCTGATAATAAAGGTGCTAGAATTAAGAACCTTGTCACATGTGATGTGGGTGATGATAAGAAACATATATTTAAAGTTTCAAGTAGATACATTAAGAAATAAAGAAGTTTTAAAAACAGAAAATTCAAAAATCATATAATTATTGTGCTAATGTTATGAACCTTGCCATGCATAATTTTCATTCTGCCATCTAGAAATATTTTAAGTTTCATAAAAATATTTGCAGTACTTTTTTACTTATATTGTAATATTTGTCATATTTGATGTCTATCTGTTATCTTAACAACAAAACATTTCAACATTAGAAGAAACAAATGTGCATAAAATCAGACTGCCATCTACCCATTTTTGTAGTTTTATAAAATTTATTCAGTCCTCTTACTTTATCCAATTTTTACGGACGAACATACGGACGGACAGACAGACGGACGGAGGGTAAACCTATAGTCCCATCCGGTTAAACCGGTAGGGTACTAATTTCCGTATTTAAAATTTCATAAAACCTTCCCTTTTCATAGAGCCTTTAAATATGACGCCATTTTGCCCCTTTTTCCCTTCAGCCCGTTTTTTTTTGGTAAAGCCCTAAATATTTTATTTTAAGCAAATTGATGTAAAGGGTTAAAATATTCCCAAATTTAAATGCAATTTTCCTTCCCCTTTTTTTTTTTTTTGCCCTTTTTAGATTTCCCTTTTTGCCTGGCGGGAAAAAGTTTTGACCTCGTCATATACGTAAAATTCCCAAAGCACAATATACAAAACCATTGCCCTTTCCCCTTTTTTTGATGGGAATGATGAATGTCCCTTTTTTTTTGTCCTTTCTCCAAACCCCGGTCTTAAAAAATCTTCTTCCGGCCCTCGGTTTAGATGATTTTCTGAAAGGGAGTTTTTTTGACAAAAGATTTTTAACCTTTTTTTCTGATTGTTTTTGGTGTGGGCCGCCAGGTTTCGGGTTTCCCTACAGAAAGAACTGAAATTTTAAAGTTGAGATTTAAAAGTTTTAAAACTTTGGCTTCCCGTCTGATCAAATGTGCTATTCCAATTTTTATAAAAAATTTTAAAAGCACCACACGCCTTGTCTGCCTTTATTAGAAATTGAAGAAATTAAATTCAAATATAAATGTTCTACATGTGCCAGCTTTTACAAGCTTATCATTTTTAAATGTTTGGGTTCTGTCAAATAGTCCTTTAGATATGTCTGTTTCATATATTTTGTGTAAAACCTTAAATCTCTCTTGAATCTTTATCTAAACTTTAGATAAGATTTGATTATACAAGTTGACAGTTATTTGTTGACAAATTATAAGATTTGATTAATACCTGTAAAACACTATTAGTCCTTTCAACCACTCGTCCTACATTTTAAGAAGAAGAAAAAACATTGGCATACAGACTGTATGCGTAACTAATTCAAGATTGCCTCACCAATGATACTTTCTTAACAATAAAATTCTTTGAAGAGGCTTCAGTAGCAGATATAGATGTGGAATGCCATATTTGGATCCTGCCATGTGCAGATGTGATACTAGTAACTGAGAAAAAGAAAAATCATTTAGATCCTAATTTTAATTGTTTAATCATTATTTAATTTTTTATGATAGTGTAAAATAATTTTTAAAACAAAACAGCCATAAAAGCATGCATATTACAAAATAGTGAAGGGCAATAAACCATAAAGTTACTTTAGCTTATACTTCAACATGTCAAGATCGTTAGTATTAATTTTGATAAAGATGAAATACTATGAACAAATATATTTTAAAAAGAAAAGGAAACTGGGAATTTGAACGTTTCATTAAATCATAAAATAGGAAGATTTTTTGACAATTTTAATTATCATAAATTCTTATATTTTTTCCAAATTTCCTTTCTTCACAGACATAGGCAGACAAATAAACATCTTTGCCAGTTGTCATTAACTATAAACATTAACTGTTCATATTTGCCATTGTTTGGATCTTTTGTTTTATTTCACTTTTGCTGTCAACAAAAATGGTTTTGTATCTATCAAATTTCTTTTTTATATCAATGTGATATTCTCCGCACTTTGACTAGATGTCATAGATTCATCGTGTATAATATTAGATTGAAAAATAAAATGACCAAAGACTAGTTTCGTGTTAGAAATCTTTGTAATAGATATTGAATGCGCCTTCTTCTTCTTAAGAATAAGCAAACAATAGTTTAAAACGTTCACAAAATGGTTTTAAATCATATGAGATGCTTTTCACCTGAAGAAAGTAACACTGAATGTTAAATTGTTTGTCATTAAAATAGCAAAATATAAACAAAATGATATTTAAAATACACTATTACTGTACTTTGTCAGGTAAGTAACAAATAAGTAAGTTTTGGAAATTAAGACAGGAACCAATAAATACAAAAGCTATTGATATATAAAATAAAAATGAAAGCTTTTCTGTATAATCTTAGGATGAAAACCTCAAGACGGCAATTCAAAACCTCTAAGAAAATGTTAAAGATGCATTTCTCCAAATGAGATATAATATTTCAAGAATATCAAACTTCAGAAAAACGTACTGCAGTTTTAAGAAATGTAAAAAGATTCAAGATAAAAGTAATAATTTCCATGTAATGTGCCATGCATGACGGAGTTTTAAGTGTTTTTCATCATATTTTTACTGCGTTAGTAACGCAGTAAGAGCTTGTTTGCATATTTTGACCTCTTTTTGGTGAATGACATGGATTGTAAGTGCCGTTTGCAATATGTAAATCATTTCGATTGTTTTTGCTTTTGATACTTTTCAAAATTTTCGTGAAAATTAGCAGAAATCTGGAGGCTTGCTGCTTTTAATAAAAGCAATCAACAAAAAGAGAACTTATGTCTGAATCAAGTAGAAATTGTAAGAAAATATAAGAGGAAACAATCAATCAAACAATCTGATTTCAGGCATTACGATTACTGAATGATCTGGAATATATTTCAAAGATTATATCTTTTTTAATTTTTTGTAATATATTTTTATTTAAATACATTTGTTTTGTGAAGAAATATATTTTGTTCTCGTATTTCGGATAGTCTAGCTTGACTTCTTTTTAACAAAAGTACGGCAAATGTGCTTTATTTTGACCACACTTATGTAAATGGAAAATTTGAACATATAATGTTGGCATTACCAATGCTTTAGAGAATTTGTAGTAAAATACACGGTAAGCGTTGCTCCCTTGATATTTGAAAATATATATGTTATAAAATTAATATCTCAGCAAAAATGAAACAATTTTCAATATTCTTTACTCAGTCTTTTTAACACAAATTAAAAAATTAATAAATCTATAAATGAGACTTACTAGCAACATCAATAAAAGCTAGCCTATGAATCACAAGTAGGAGAAATAACAACATTAGTAACACAATATTACTGTTGTGTAAAATTTTCTGTCCACAGAGAATGATAACATTACAAAAGCAGAGAGCTTTGTTCTTTTGTGATGAAACACATGTTGTTATCGTATAGCATGTTTGTATGACAGATCGTTCTAGCTTTGTCACATATCAATTTCAGATGAAAGTGTCTTTTTTTAAAAATTTATTCGTGAAATGAAGAGGCGTGTGTGACGAGTAGTCTTAACAATACCAACTTTACAGTTAAGCTACTAAAACATTTAAATCATATGAAACCAATAGAATAAATCATATAAGAAACTTTACAGTTTGGTCAATTTGGTAGAAATGAATATGTTTCTGAATATGTTTCATTTAGGTTGTAAATAGATGACAGTTATATGTGCCATCAACCACACTTGTACCAGCCTCTCCCATGCACCGTCTTCAGCAGAACTAAAACAGAAATATAATAATTACGATAAATTATATAAAAAAAAGGTTTTGCACTGATGAAGGCATATAGCCGAAACGTCTTCAATTAAATTTAATTACTAAATGTTCGTGTTTGTGTGGCTTGCCTGATTAGATTTATTATAAAAAAAAACTTTCACAACAAATCTAATACGGAAGAGTTCATAGAACCTTTAACACTAGATAAAAACGTAAAAGGTTACCTTTATGTATATCTACTGTTTAAAGTTTATGTTAAAAAGAATTTGATTGCTTAGATATTTTTCAGCATTGTCAGGGAGAAACTCACTAAGACATATAGAAAAGAATGAAGCTTCTAGTCATTTTTTTCAATCGGTATATTTTTGAAAATTGGTAACTGATTAAGACGGCGTGATTGAACAAAATGTTTGTTAAACTTTACTATTATCCGTTATGAACTAGTTAATTCAAACCGAATCTGCAATTTTCACCAATTTATTTTTTTTTTCTTTCATTGCTCTTGGAGGATTTCACTTTTTCAAAACACTTTTCACTGATACGTGAGTATATATTGATTTAAAGCAACATGCCTCCAGATTCATGCTAATTTTCATCAAAATTTTAAAGTGTACATAAAAGTATAATACAATTTTGTGAAGTGAACAACGAAAAATATTTACACATTGCAAACAACACTTGCAATCTTTGCAAATTACAAAAAAAGGAGATAAGAATAAGGAAAAATAGGCCTCGCTGTGTTAGTAACGCATTAGAAATATTGTGATGAATACTGCAAAATCAGTCTTTTATCGAACATAACATGTGAATTATTACTTGAAACGTAATTATTACACTTTTCCTGAAATCCTAGTATTTTTTCAAGATTTAATTTTCTTGAAATAGTTGAGCTTATCTGGAGGCATGCAGCTTTAAATAAATCGTATTCAATCAAGGAATTATTTCATTGCAAGAACCCCCTGCACACCTCACTGTCTTCATTTACATAAATGATTAATTCTAAAAGCCTTCGGAAAATAAAAAGAACACAAAGTACACTGTATTGGTGTTCATCTAAAGAAGATAGTAAAAAGATAATACAATCAACAATGATAATATTGTAAAATTACTTTGTCACATATTGCAATCCGAAGTTGCCGACTATTATATAAAGGTGCATCTCTTTACCGTCAAGTATCTACAGTGAATTCACATAGTTTGCTGCACATCAACTGCAAATATCGTTCGAAATGGTGCGACCATCTTTATACTTTACCGTTTTCGGTTTTGTCATGTTTATTTTACATGCAGTTGCGGAGGATTCTTGTCTATTATCAACGCAACAATTTCTGGACAAAAAAGGTTAGTCATATTTTCATTCAATACTTTCGTTTCGGCTGTCAAAGCACCAAAGTATTAATAATTAATTAATTTATTTATTTATTTGTTTATTTATTTATTTATTTCAGGGATAGAGACAATTGAAAATTGTCCCTGTTTTAATTTCAATAAGCATGCAATTGTTGTATAGATGAAGATTTGTTGTTGTCATATTTAATCTCGCTACTTCGGTACTTAAAATTACACCCGATCTTATTCTAAAGTTATTTATACTGGTAAATTCAAATTATTTTAACTGAGATTTTTTATTCATGTCGATTGCATGACTCTATTATGACATTGAATATATTTTTTGGAGATTTACTGAGCCCTGATTTAATGAGCCCTTAGTGTTTCCGTCAAAATTATGACAGTATGGTTGTAAAAATGTTTATACAATGTCTGATTAAATAATGTATGCAATAAAACATGTTAACTTTATACTTTTTTTTTAAATTGTACTCATTATCATTACAGTTCTTGGTGCAAATTACGTTCGTTGGGGGAGAACTACCTGTCCATCAGATAATGAAGTACTATATACAGGTAAGATTTATTTGTTTCTGAAATGAAATTTCATATGTGTATGAATGATATTACTTCACATACAAAAGGACATCATTTAAATCATAGTGAGCTTAACACATTTTATGACACGTTGCACTTACATACACTTTACGTATTAACACATTATTTCGAGTCTAAACCAATAAAACAAGTGCTAAATATTCCATGAGTTAATTTCAAATGGCGGAAAAAAAAGCTCTTTCGAGGTATATCTTTACTAATCATGAACAAAAATGTACTGTTTTAAACAGTCAGGATTGAGGGATGTTTTGGTCTGGGGCATTTATTCAAATATCTGGTCTTAGTAAACATTCATCAATACAGAAACTTTAAACGTTTAATGTTTATAACCTACTAGCAAATATGCTAGAAGTTAATTCTATAAATAAAAATTAGAATTTGTGTACGTATGCCACCATAAACTAAAATTGGCTATCGGTGTAAGGTATTCTTCTGCGCATCGGTCGAATGTTTCATTATCGTTCACTTTCTTACCGGGAGTGTTATCACTGAGTTGCGAGTAAGGTCTCTATGGCCACATTACAGCATGGCATATATAGATTATTATCATTGAAGTCTTGTCTGTTTTCATAACTTCGGATACAGAATATATTACTCTCCAATTTAAGTCATTATGCAAAACACTTGCTTACAAAGTCAACATATCAACCAAAATAGTTATAAAATTATGATAAAAACATTATAATTGCGCACAGTAATTCAATATCAATTTCTAAACAATACACTATTTAAAGCCGTATCCTTAATTTTTTTCTCCTTACATATTTAAATGAAAAACATTTTGGCATTTTTAGGTCAGGCTGCAGGCTCGGACTGGCAGTCACCGGGCGCGGCAAGCAATTTCCTGTGCTTGACAAATGAGCCACAGTGGGGATTATACGAAGAAGGCGTCAATTCTGGGGCTCAGGTTTCTTAAATAATAAATATAATTATATTATGTTTGTAAATTTTAAAACTAAATAAAACAAGTGTATTTGATTTTAAGGATAAAACATGATTGATGTTGCATCTATTTTGGGTTTATATCAAAACAAATTTACTTTGTACATAAACAAACAAAAAAACTGTCGTACTTCGAATTCTAAAATGTATTTTATAACAAAATATCTCCAACAATTATAAACCAAATTTGCAGGTTTACGGAGCTGAATATGAGTTTAAAGATTTTCATCCTGATAAAGGAAGTGAATATTTCAATCAGGATCTGAATGACCATGATGCTCCGTGTTCAGTGTGCCAAACTCCGCGTTCCTCTGTATTAATGATCCCTGGTAGACAGGAATGCTTCCCAGGCTGGACTAAGGAGTACAGGTTTGTTTGAAAATGTAGCTTATATCGCTTTTACATACATCTATTAATAATTATCTAGAATTAACATATTTATTCAGATGTTAATACAAAATTTATGTTCATTTATTTTTTAAAATCATTTACATGCATTATCACTATTTAATGTATATTTTATATAGCGGGTACCTTGTGGCAGGGGCTGGACAACATAGAGCCGCCACAGAGTATATATGCCTGGACGGTGAAGCAGAAAATATATCACCAGAACTAGGTAATACAGATGGGAAAGTTATGTACTTGGTGGATGCTGTGTGTGGCACTTTAAGATGCCCTCCATATATCCAAGGTCGCGAGCTGACATGCGTTGTTTGTAGCAAATAAACTACATCAAGCAAATTGATATAGACTACAATTTTATATAGCATTTCACTTGCATTTTATTTTAGTCATATCAAGTTGTGCTGAAAATACTTTCTAAAAATACAATAAATTTAACTCAAATTGGATTTTTTTATTATATCTCAACAACTTTTCAAGTGGAATGGTCTTGATATTTCAAAATATGTTGAACAACCTTTCATAAAACATGTTATTGTTTATTGCTCATGTGCACACATTGTAAAATAAAGTAAGTCTATATATAATACCGTTTCTGTTTGTTATTTCAAAAATCATGGGTATATAGTTAAATTATCCAAGGAAACATCAATTTGAAATAATACACATGTATGTACTATCATCAACATTTATAGTTTAATCTCTTTCTCATATATGTATACATGTACATACAAAATTACAATAATCAAAGATAAGATACAGTGTAAAAAATAGTTCAGTATAGATGCTTAACTGGCTAAGGAAGACCTCGGGTGCCCCTCCGTGCATTATGTAAGCCAAGAACGGGCAACAGACCCAAGTAGACCCACAGACTTAATTATATTGTGTTAACATCAGTCCTCGATAATCATTCTTGTCAGTTGCAGTTCCAAAAGACGTCATTTTGGCGTCTTTATGAATGAGTTTAATATATAGGATGACGTCGTTGCGCTGCTTTGGAATTGGCGCCGAATTGTCAAATTTTATGATGAGGATTAAACCTGTGGCATTAGCGTATGTGTGATATGACTTTAATATTTTATGAAGAAAAAAAAACATTGTAAGAAACGGACAATATCAATAAAAATGCGCTATTATTGTTGCCTTAAAAAGGCTTTGTAAGTTTTATTATCGAGGGAAGAAAAATAACAGCCGCACATATATGTAGTCCATTGGCAGTTTAACACCGTTTTTCCATTTCTCTGTGTATATGTTAGAATTATGAATAACACGCAGTTCACTTACACAACAAGTAAAATATATTCACATTGTTTTGATATAATACTCGATATAAATCAAATGGCATGTGACTGTACACTAAACTGAATATATAATAAAACCTATATCACACAGTAAAATGTTAGATGCATTGACTAAAGGCTCTTCAATTATTAGGGAAGCCTTTCAAACAGCATGTCGCAGAAGTGAAGATGCTCACTTGTGACTGCAATCTCTAGGTCATAATGTTATATGGGAATATCAAGGGGGGCATGACAGTTTCTAACTCAAAACTGATTGAGTTTATTAATGCGCTACATTTTATTTTACACTGTGGCGGGAACGTTTTAGGAAAACTGCCTTCAAGTGAAATCATATGGGACATAGAAAACAACTTTTTTTTATAACAGGGACTTTACTTAAAATAATGTCGAAAACGAAAATTATTTGGTCCCAGATATTACCAAGAAAGTCATTGAGATATGTGCAATGTAATAAAACTGCAAATGAAACCAGCATGCGTGCAAATAGTTGTACCAGTACATTTGTTATGGAACTCGGGGTTAATACGTCCATTACCCTGAAATTACAGAGTACTCTTTGTTGTTTAGGCCAGATGGCACACATCTGTCAGACTTACGTAAACATTTTTTTAGAATAAAATATCAGGAGCTCTGAACATATTCACGTCCATGGCTGGTTAAAGCTTAAATTAGAGCTGTGGTAGTCCGCTATGGCGCAAGCCCACAATCAAATGTTTCGCTTTGTTTGTGGGCTTTTTGGCATAAGCTACTACCTATTTGCAACTGTTGCCGGGGCGAAAAACAATTATAGAAAAGACATGTAGTAGTTTAAACATTTTGTAACACATAGACATTTAATACGGTAAATTAATAAAAATCTTCGATCCAGTATGGTCATTTTCATGTCAACTCGTTTTCACTAACACACGCTTGTATGTGTTTTGAACTTAATTCTCTTTTCCTTTATTCCCAAGTTGTAATCTTTGAGTAGAATGCGATACATCGGCTATGCGATTAAATCTTTTTATATTAACACCCCAGTCTGGCCTCATAAAGAGTGATCATGAAGAGTGAAAACTATAATTTTGTGCAAATTTTTCAAATGCTTATTTGGGACATGTCAGTATTTTGTTCATGCTTAAGATGCATACAATTGTAATGAAATACAGGCTTACCTGAATGAACATTTTTTAAACAGTGTGAATTTACGATAATTTATGAAACTGTGAATAAATGGCCTGTTATTTATTTTATAGAAATTAAAAGATGATGCATTAAATAGTCTATAGAAATTACACTCAACTGGTTAAAAACATTATCTCAGAAATGTATAACTATTTCTAAACTGACCAAATTGCTTATTAAAAGAAGTGTATAAGAAAGGTATTTATGGATATCATTGTATGTGTATTGCGCAGTGGAAGCAAATCAGAGTAAGTTATCTGGCTTTTTTTCGTTTAAGATAACTAGTCTCTGGAGAATCTGTTACAACTAAAGCGGCTTTCCGCAATAAAATAATAATCAGCAATGATAAGACTGTGCAATGGCTTAAGATTATGAAATAACTTTGTCACATATTGCCCTATCCTAAAGTCTCCAAACGTAATAAAATGCACAACTTAATTCCGTCTTCTTTGTTCAACTGTCCTCCCTGAATTTCATAGTTTGCTGAACATCTTCTGCAAATACTGTTCGAGATGATCCGACCATCTTTCTACTTTGCAGTTTTCGGTATTGTTATGTTAATTTTACCAGCAGTTGCAGATGATCCTTTGAAAATAACGCAACAACTTCTAGATATATTATTACAATTGAACAAGTTGGGGACAAGCACTGAGGCCGCATTACAGGACTTGGCGTCACATTTAGAAAGTTTAAAATCTCAGACAGGTTAGTTATATTTGCATTCAATACCTCTGATAAGATATTAAATTATTTCGTGTACGAAACACTCTGAATAAATTATTATAGGGACGTCAACGTTCTGTCATAAAAACTTTACCGGATATGTACTGTTATGTGATTCTTCTCACTTTTATCAATTGGACGAGGACAATATATGTAGTTCGCATGATAACTATCCAGTTTTACTGGTGGAATAAAATGTATAACTTTTTTGTGTAATGTACTCGTAGAAAATAGCTGACAGACTCAGTAAATTGAAACAGAGCACTTGTTAAAATTGCTTGCAAATTGACTAAAATGTCATTTACAATTTTATATAATAAAGCATAACACGATTTGCAATGATTTTATTAAAGTTAATGTTATTTCTCTATTCATATTAATTTTGATTCAACACCAAGTTAAAAGCAAAGTTCAACTCTTATTTTAATGTCGGTGTCATTGAGTCCAGCTCTTTTAAGTGTTGAGAATTGAGTACCTCTCAAGCCGGTGCTAGGGGAGTGAGGACTGTTGCACTTTTCATTACCCCTCATATACAGACTCAATTTTACAGTGTCTGCAATTTGCAGTTTTTTATCCTTTTTTAATCACTTTTTACAAGATATTTATACATCAAAACATCAGGTGTATAGTGCCCTGTTGCAGCCGTGATATGTTGCCCCCAATTCACTTTAGTGTTGTAATATTTTTCTCGTTCTTCGGGATAATTGAGTCCAGCAATCTTAAGTGTTTTGTCATGTTTTATTTATACTTATTTTAAAAAAGCTCATAATGTATTTTTCAGCGGACTGAATTGACCTTGAATCTTTTATATGCTTAGATCAGCAATTATCATCACAATGTCTAAAATCTGCATGATTAAAATTTGCATGTATGGTTCTATTAAGGCATTGAATGTAATTCTTATAAATCGTATACATTATCATTACAGTCTTTGGTGCAAATTACGTACGCTGGGGGAGAACTACCTGTCCATCGGACAATAAATTAGCATATAAAGGTAGGATTTATTTGCTTCTGAAATGAAATTTAATGTGTAATTAAATGATATTCCTTTTGATACAAACCATAAAGCAACATGTCTTTATTTCTTATATCTTTTTGAGCTGAAAACGTTCTAAGGGTAGATTCTATGAAAATTTGACACAATGTACGTACTATACTTATTTGCTCTGTCTATCGAGTCTAAACCGATGAAGCAAGTGCTAAATAACTCATGTGTGAGTTTTAAATGACGACCAAGAGTCTCCGAAAACCAAGAGGTCTTTTGGGAGCTATATCTCAATAAATTATGTACAAAGTTGTACTGATTTAGATATGATTTAACCAACAGACGGGAGTGTAAGGTGTGTTGGTCTTGCGCATTTATTCGAATATCTGCTATGTGTAACAAATTATCAACACAGAATCTTCAAAGGTTTTATGTTTATACCAACCTATTAAGAACATGCTAGAATATGAAATTAGAATTTGTGTGCGTATACCGCTTTAAAACAAACGTGGGTTTCGTTGTAAGGCCGCTATGGTCATATTACAGAAAATTAGTATCTTCCAAGTCTGTTATATAACTTTGAATACAGAATAAAGTATGTACCTTTCAACAAAACATTTGCTAACATAGTCAAATTATCACCCATTGTTATAAAAAACAGATTATAGAAACATTGTTATTGCGCACTGTATTTATATATCAATTTCTTAACAACATTCTATTAAAAGCAGTATCCTTATGCCTTTCTGATTGTGAACAATATTTTGACATATTTTAGGTCAGGCTGCGGGCTCGTCGTGGAAGCATCCGGGCGGAGCAAGTAATTTCCTGTGTTTGACAGATGAACCACAATGGGGATTATACGAAGAAGGCGCCGATTCTGGGGCCCAGGTTTATTAAATAATAAATATATATATTTGGACAAAGGAGCTTTGCGTGTTTGATAAATTATTAATTTAACTATTTGTTTCAAAATTTCATTTGTAATTTAATAAACTATTGCATTGAAAACTGTACACAGCCTTCCAAATTTTCGTTTGTTCGTTGTAAAGTTTCAAATAAAAACAACACAAGTGCATTGAATTTAAAAAATAAAACATAATTGATGTTACATCTACTTTTGGTTTGTATCAAAACATATTAACATTGAACATAAACAAACAAAATAACTGCCTGCCGAACTCCGTATTTCCAAATGTGTTTTATAATAAATATCTCAAATAATTATACAACAAATTTGCAGGTTTTCGGAGCTGAATATGAGTTCAAAGATTTCCATCCAGATAAAGGAAGTAAATATTTCAAAAAGGATCTGAATGACCATGATGCTCCGTGTTCAGTGTGCCAAACTCCGCGTTCCTCTGTATTGATGATCCCTGGTAGAAACGAATGCTTCCCAGGCTGGACTAAGGAGTACAGGTTTGTTTGATAATGCGGCTTTATCATTATCTGGTCCTCAGACAATAAAGTCGAAGTCTAGTCTAATTTTTTACTACATAAATCTGTTTCAATTATATAATGGTGATATCTGTTAATAAATACAATTATTTCTTCAAAGTATTTTCTAAAGTTTTCTAAAAGTATCAAAGTGTTTCTCCTAATCCCCTCTATTTTGCACAGAGAAAAGCCACCTACGTCAGATTCGGTTAATCTTACCAAATCGACTTATTTGGTTGCCAAGTTTCAATAGTTGATTGATATTTATCATGACATAAAGATGATATATGAACACGTGATAGACGGTGACGCATACCCACACCATAACTCCATGTTTATAGATATACTTCGTAATTCCTGCATACGTCAAACTGACATAAATATTTTACGTAATCTAATCGAATTAAGATTGAGAAAAGCGGTACTATGCAAATGAATTTCAATTGCCTCTTATGCACAACATATAAATAGTTTTGCTAGAATATATGAAGCTTCGTGCTATTAACTATGTTACATATTTTTTATCGAGATGTCTAATAGAAAATTCATGTTTAGTATTTTTTTTATCATTTACATGCATTATAACTATTTTTTGTATATTTTATATAGCGGGTACCTTGTGGCAGGGGGAAAACACCATACGTCTGCCTCAGAATTTATTTGCCTGGATGGTGACGCAGAAAAGATATTACCAGGACTAGGTAATACAGATGGGAAAGTTATGTACTTGGTGGATGCTATGTGTGGCACTTTAAGATGCCCACCATATATCCAAGGTCGCGAGCTGACATGCGTTGTTTGTAGCAAATAAACTACATCAAGCAAATTGATATAGACTACAATTCTATATAACATTTCACTTACATTTAATTTTAATCATATTAAGTTGGAAATACTTTCTAAAAATGCAATTTATATTACTCAAATTAGTTTTCTTTGATTATATCTCAACAACTTTTCTGATATTACAAAATATGTTGAACAACCTTTCATGAAATATGTTAGTTGGTATTGTTAATGAGAATGAAAAGAAATTGTAAAATAAAGTTTACATATAATATTGTATCATAGTTTGGGGACCTTTCTGTTGAAAATGTGTCAGAGTTAAATCGTATACATATACATGCACAGTGCGTTAACTGTAGTGCAGGTATCAGTTACCGGCACTCCAGAGCATGCCAATTGATTGGCTCATTTTTGCTGGGGTTTACTTTTTGTGACAGAAGAGAAAGGAAAGGCGACAGAAATATCATATTCAGATGCTCGTTCATTGGTTACTTTTTCCCGGGTTTCATATTGTGACAACAGGGAACGTGTTTTTATGTTTGATTATGATACAAAAGAGAAAGCACATCAAAAGAATCGGCAATCTGATTAATACGCGGGGGCTTTACCCTCCCCCATACAAATCAGATATCCTCGTATTTCGATGCTCTTTCTATTACTTGTTTTGTTTTGTTTTTTATTTCAATAATCAAATCATGGGTATCTAGTTACATTATCCAAAGTAACATCAATTAGAAACGATATATGTATGTACAGATATTATAGCGTTTAAAGTTTTATTCCGGTTTCATCTATATATTCATACAAAATTACAATATTAAAGTTTAGATCCAGTTAAAGTTATAGTTCAGTATAGGTAAAGGAAAACCTTGGGTGCCATTCCGTGCATCATGTACGCCAAGAACGGGTATCTGAGTAGAATCACCGAAGTTCCGTTAGCAAGCTGGAAAGCTTCCTCACATAAAACAATCAAAATCACTGTCCATATTTGAACGCATAGCGGTTTGGAATATTTGTTTGAAATCAAAGACCAAAGTCCAAAGACACCCCACATAATGATGTTTTAGTTTATTTATTTCAATTGTTGTTTTAAAACGTACTCACTTCAAAAAAAAGCGTGTAATTTATTAAAATCTTTTACCTGGAAATATACAAAAGTAAAAATGTATCAAGCAAGGAGTATTAATGATTTTATTCAAAAAAATGTTATAGATCAACGAGATACCTAAAAGTAATGGAAGTACATGTGGATAAAAAGATAAAATTCCTTTGCTAACCATTACTACATAAGAGCAGAGTCCCTAAAGAACGCCAAAAAGGGCAAACTTGAAAATGTTGCAGACATTTTTTAAACAGTGTGAATTTACGATAATTTATAAAACTGTGAATAAATGGCCTGTTATTTATTTTATAGAAATTAAAAGATGGTGCATTAAATAGTCTATAGAAATTACACTCAACTGGTTAAGAACATTATCTCAGAAATGAATAACTATTTCTAAACTGACCAAATTGCTTATTAAAAGAAGAGAAGTGTATAAGAAAGGTATATATGGATATCATTGTATGTGTATTGCGCAGTGGAAGCAAATCAGAGTAAGTAATCTGGCTTTTTTTCGTATAAGATAACTAGTCTCTTGAGAATCTGTTACAACTAAAGCGGCTTACCGCAATAAAATAATAATCAGCAATGAAAAGACTGTGCAATGGCTTAAGATTATGAAATAACTTTGTCACATATTGCCCTATCCTAAAGTCTCATAACGTAATAAAATGCACAACTTAATTCCGTCTTCTTTGATCAACTGTCCTACCTGAATTTCATAGTTTGCTGAACTTCTTCTACAAATACTGTTCGAGATGATCCGACCATCTTTCTACTTTGCAGTTTTCGGTATTGTTATGTTAATTTTACCAGCAGCTGCAGAGGATCCTTTGAAAATAACGCAACAACTTCTAGATATATTATTACAATTGAACAAGTTGGGGACAAGCACCGAGGCCGCTTTACATGACTTGGCGTCACATTTAGAAAGTTTAAAATCTCAGACAGGTTAGTTATATTTGCATTCAATACCTCTGATAAGATATTAAATTATTGCGTGTACGAAACACTCTTAATAAATTATTATAGGGACGTCAACGTCCTGTCATAAAAAACTTTACCGGATATGTACTGTTATGTGATTCTTCTCACTTTTATCAATTGGACGAAGACAATATAGTTCGCATGATAACTATCCAGTTTTACTGGTGGAATAAAATGTATAACTTTTTTGTGTTATGAACACGTAAAAAATAGCTGACAGGCTCAGTAAATTGAAACAGAGAACTTGTTAGAATTGCTTGCAAATTGACGGAAGAATTATTTACATTGTGGAGGCTGTTTGTGGTACTCTGAGATGTCCCCCGTACGTACAAGGTCGAGAGCTGACATGTGTGGTTTGTAGCAAATAAGCGACACCAAATGCCATAAAAAGTACTTATATGAAAACTAGAATAACGCATGTTATTCGGTTTTTTCTAAATGAAGGACTCAACAATTAAATTACCGTAAATTTTACTGAATGTGTACATTAAAAGAAAGTATTTAATAGGAGGCACTTAGTTATATTTATTCTTTGATGCAACACGTTACTACGTCATTGAGGACTATGACTATTTGTAGCAACACGTTGCTTCGTTTTTGCCGACTATCTGTAGCAACACGTTGATACGTCCTTGTCGACTGTCTGTAGCCACACGTTATTACGTCATTGCCGACTATGACTAATTTCAGCAACACATTGCTTCGTTCTTGCCAACAAACTGTAGCAACACATTACTACGTCATTGCCAACTATGACTAATTGTAGCAATACATTGCTTCGTTCTTGCCGACTATCTGTAGCAACACGTTACTACGTCTTTGCCGACTATGACTAATTGTAGCAACACATTGCTTCGTTCTTGCCGACAATCTGTAGCAACACGTTACTACGTCATTGCCAACTATGACTAATTGTAGCAACACATTGCTTCGTTCTTGCCGACTATCTGTACCAACACGTTTACTACGTCATTGCCGACTATGACTAATTGTAGCAACACATTGCTTCGTTTTTGCCGACTATCTGTAGCAACACGTTGATACGTTCTTGCCGACTTTCTGTAGCAACACATTTCTACGTCTTTGCCAACTATGACTAATTGTAGCAACACATTGCTTCGTTCTTGTCGACTATCTGTAGCAACACGTTGCTACGTTCTTGCCAACTATCTGTTGCCACACGTTGCTATGTCCTTCTCGACAATCTGTAGCCACACGTTGTTACGTTATTGTCGACTTTCTGTAGCAAAACGTTAATTCGTTCTTGCCAACTATCTATAACCAGGAGTAGAAAATCAACGTGAATTAAAAAACCAACTTATTATAACTATGAAATTCTCAATAAAATACCTTATTGAACCTTGATGGTAAATGGGATTTAAAAAGTCTTATTTACCAGAACACTATTATTGAATCTTGATGTGAGGGTAAATTGGATTATTTTAATTCATCTGGAAATGAATTCAAATATGTTTTGGTGTTTGAAATTGTTTGCAGTGTAACACATTTACTTTAGTAAAGCGTCTTGAAAAGTCAATAACTTAATTTTCCGTCTTCTTTAATGAAGGTCATGATCTACACCCCCTGCCCTCCGCCCGTTAAGGCACAAAAATAACTGTCGTTATCGACCTGGGCATGCAACCTGTCATCCCCTCCAAGGTTTCATTTTGAAGATTGATAATGTCTTGTTGTACAGTAAAGTCGTGGACTTCAAACCACTTGAGCTGCTAGGGCGTAAACATGGCCATTTGTGCACAAACACTTCCTCATTTTCTCAAGGGATTCTAAATTTTTAACCATACTTTCACAGAAGCGTTCATCAATGGCCATTGGACATACTGTAGGTTCTTTAAGTCACATAATTTTCGGTGGGCCAATGACTTTTCTTCCTAAGCTTATACTATTTAGAGGAAAACTCTTATTAACACGTATCTTTAAACATTTTGTACGGACTTTAATCAAAATTTCACAGAACAAGTGCCACAAAGTGCACAATTTTTGAAATTTAAAATTCTGTACTTAGACATGTTTGATATATGTAAAGAAAAACTCGTATGTGTGCAACTATTACTACATTTGCCACAGGAGTAAAACCGACAACTCAAAAGTCTGGATTCAATTTCTAGGATTTTTGTATGAGGTTTACAATTTCACTCATTTTATTTATGGGTTAATAACTGCTACGTAAGTCCATAATTACGTAATTAATGTGGCTACTATGATTGTACAAGCATGAATATCATTGTAAACAAAAGCCGACACAGTATGGGTCATATGGCGCTTCTCCAGCTTTACTAGTCGAGGAAGATCTCAGGTACTCTTCTGTACATTATTTCAGACACCAACAGACACCCGAGTAGAACCACCAACATCGTGTTAGCTATTTGGAAAGCTTGCCGAAAACGCTGGGGCGGCACATTGTATGAGCGGTGGCAGGTGGTTAAAAAAATCCACATTTTGCTTTACATCTGTTATTCATTCTATTTCATGATTTTGCCTTTTTCCCTTTCTAAGAAGGCACATGTTCCTATTACCGTACTTTAAATAAAATCTATATATCGGATGCACGTGTCATGAGTTATTATTATAAAAGAACACAAGAAGTAAGAATAGACAAGCTGTAACAATTTTATCAATTTTACTTTTTCATTATAATGCATTATCAACATTAGATAAGACTCAAAAAAGTAATTTGTCTGCCCTACTTTTAAAATTAGAAAATATCTTCAAAAACAATAAATATATATAACAACGGATATAATAAAATATCCAATGATCCCTCATCTGGTTCATAATTAAAACACACATAACAGATTCCAAGTCATTCGATTATAATACTATTACATCATACATTAATATTGCGCATGCGTGAAATATTAATTCCGTTGCTATAACTAAGATCTATATCTCGAATGCACGTGTTATGAGTAACTGTATACATTTAAGATAATATTAAATTTCAGAGAAAACATTTAAATTTGGTACTTAGATTAAATCTTTAAAGCAGTTGGACTCCAGATTCATGCTTATAGT